TCCACACTGCTGCGCTCCACCGACTACGCCTCGTCCACCTCCCCCGCCTCCGCCACCACCGCCGTCCTCTGGCGCCGTCGTGACTCCGGTGGGGGCGGCCGTCGTGACGCCTGTGGCAAGCCGTATGGAACACCGGCGTCACACGGAGTTCGTCATCGTCCCTCGTTCGGCGGAGTTGCTGGCTACCGAGGATGCGCTTGGCCTTGCACTTGTCGTCGTGGTTGGCGGTACACGCCCACCGGTGTCGCCGGCCATGGTGGCCTGGTTCCTTTTCGACCGCTTCAGATTGACGGAAGAGGATGCAGTGGTTTGGCGACATGATCCAGAGGATTTCGTCGTACAATTCAGGCACCGCGAGGACAGAGACCGTGTCCTTGCCATGCCACCGGGGGGGCAGCTTCCCCTCATCTAGCGGCCATGGTGGAGGACATCGTTGGCCAGTGCTGGGTCATTCCCATTTAGGGTGCTGGTGGGGATGAGGCGTGTCCCCCTCCATGCTCGGAACGTGACCACGGCGCAGACCATCCTCGGCCCCGCTTGTGCCGAGGTTGACATTGTCCGGCCAAGTGACGTCCCGGCGGATGACGATCGGGAATTCTTCGTCACAGCATGGTGTTTGCATCCACGGTTCATCCCCGACAAGCAGGTCATGTTCATCCTAGAGCCGCGCATCCTCAGCCCCGTCGAGGCCACTCTGACCGTGCTTCCGGGGCTACGCTACCTCGTGAGGCTGCGCCTAGTTGCGTTCCAAGATTGGAGTGCGCCGCCTGTGTCCCCTGCGGACGATGGCCACGATGGGGGTGATGCTGATGAAGATGATGGTCCAAGCGATGGCAACTCCCACCACGGGGTTCATGACAGGTGCGGCGGTCCGCCGCGGGGGCCAACCCCCGAGGATGACTACTTCGGCAGGCGTGACAGCGACGATGATGGCTCCGCCGATAACAACTTTAACCGCTATCATCATGGGATTGACCGTCGTTGTTGTCACCGCTCGTCGCCGTCTTGCCCGACCGCATTGGCCCGGCCATCCATAATAGTCGGGACGGTTTGTTGCCCGCTGGTCCTTGGTAGGCATGGGCTCATGCGTGCGGGCGTCGCAATTGATGGTCCACACGAGATTTCGGATGTTGCGTCCCCGCGGCCTCGAGTGCGTGCGCCGGCACATCCTCGGGAGCGCATGCCTAAGGCCCCATCACTGTCGGAAACTGCTCCACACACCGCTGACATATCTCCTTTGCAGCTGGCATCCATGCCGCCCACGCCGGTTGCTGTAGCGCTGACTTCTGCCTCGGTGCCAAGGGCATCTGCCGGTTGCTGGTACCACCGAGCCCATCTCCTATGCTGATGCGTGCGCCCGAAGGCCCTGCGGCTGGCTTTGTGGGCCGCTTGCTCGTAGCCGACCCACAAATACTCCATGGGGGTCGTCGCATCCAGGCGTCCCCCTATCCGGCGGCCTCCGAGGACTGGTGGGCTCATTGCATCGAGGTCGAGTTCACAGGCCCAACCCATTTGTCCCACTCAATGTTAGGGGCAGACGTGTTCGCGGGTACCCATGTGCCTGTGGCTTCGAATAATCATGTCCAGGCAAAGTTCGTCGGCCCATTTCGGTCGGCATGCACAACATACCAAGATGGCCCGGACCTTGCATGGACAACGCCAAGGCCTGATCATGCGAGGACGCCACCCAGGCCTTCTGCACTGACTACGGCCTCTCCACCCAAGCCTGGGCAACACGCGGCGGCCTCGGCGGCGGTGTCGGTGGCGGTGGTGCTGGCCCTGGCTACACCATAGGAGATCTCAAGGTGCCTCCGGTCGCAGCTGTGCTCCGTCATCACAGAGCCTATCATAGTTGAGCCCCCATGACTACGGGTCCCCAGGAGGAGCCGTGTGGTGGACACGCCGCTCTCACCGCCGCGTCGAAGCGGCAGGCTCGCCGCCAAGAGCAAATGCAGGGCACCTAACCCAACGGTGCAGGCATAGAATGTGTTGATGGCCAAGTGGGGACTACGCCCGCTGCAGCCGGCACAGACTGGAACAGACAGTGATTTCGACGAGTACCTGGCCATGTTCGGCGGGCCCCTCTCGGAGTCCAAGCGGGAGGCGATCAAGATGTTGTTCCTGGCCGGTTGTGCGATCGACGGCATCCAGCTTGCCGAGGGGGTCGAGCATGAGGTCTAGGCAACCTCTGCATCCTTGTCGCCAAATGTTGTCGATGTCGAACGAAAACATCTTAGTATGGAATGTCCGTGGCCTCAATGGTCGCGCGCGGTGCAACATCGTTAGGGACTTCATCATCCAGGAGAGGGTCTCGCTTGTTTGCTTGCATGAGACTAAGCTCTCCAATGTCTGCAACCAACTTGCTTCTGAATGCCTTGGAACATCATTTGAGTATGCCTTGATGCCTACTGTGAATACCACCGGTGGAGTTCTCCTCGGCTGGAGGACGGACGCCTGGTCAGCGTCGCATGTGTCTCTACAGTCACACTCTGTAACTGCCAAAATCGCCAATCGCTATGATCCCAGGATGGCCTGGTGGATCACCGTTGTTTATGGGCCGTTGGATGCTAATGCCCAGCAGGCTTTTCTTAACGAGCTCGTGGCTCTCCGCTCCTCGCTGCTGGGTCCCTGGCTCATTTGCGGGGACTTCAACATGATCTACCGCGCGGCAGATAAGAACAACGACCGCCTTGATTGCTAGTGTATGCGCCGCTTCGGGCGTTTTCTTGGTGCGGTGGTGGTCGAGGAGCTACACCTCAACGGTCACCTGTTCACATGGTCTAACGAGCGCCTGCACCCAACACTCGAGCGCATTGATCGCGCTTTAGCTTCGGTGGATTGGTTGGAACTGTACCCAAACCACCAGCTGCGTGCGCTCTTTGTCAGACTGCTTGGACCACGCACCCCTACTACTGCGCCTAGATGTCGTTCCCTGGGCGTGTAAGTGCTTCGGGTTTGAGTCCATCTGGACAAAGCTACCTAGGTTCCTCGACGTCGTCGCCTCGGCATGGGAACCGACCTTGCTTCATGCAGACGCGTTCTGTATCATGGACTACAAACTCAGGAACGTCGCTCGCACGCTAAAAAGTTGGAGTATGCGCAATATCGGGAGCGTCCGGCTGCAGCTTGCCATTGCACGCGACGTCATCTTGCGTTTGGACTGCGCGCAAGACCGGCGACCCCTGTCGACTGAGGAGATTGTGCTGAGAAAGGACATGAAATGCAAATGCCTTGGCCTCGCGTCCCTCAAAAGAACAATCGCCAGGCAGCACTCCAGGTTGATGTTCCTAGCCGAAGGGGACGCCAACATGAGGTTCTTCCATCTTCAGGCTTGCCACCGCAGTCGAAAGAACCACATCACCTCGCTCCGGGTCCAGGGGAACGACCTTGTCCTCAATGAGCAGATGGCGGACGCGGTGTATGACCACTACAGCTGACTGCTCGGCACTCCATTCCATCGAGCGGCCACCACTATACCACATCCTATCTACAGCGTCCTACGGTAGGTCGCTATAAGTCAGTACAGCGACCTACGGTAGGTCGCTATATACATATAGCGTCCGACTTGACGCGTGGGTACAAGTGGCGTCGCTATAAGTTATAGCGTCCGACCTTAATTATAGCGACCGACTGTTCGACGGTACGTTAAAGATATACCGACCGATTGTTCAACGCCAAGTACATACTTATAGCGACTATTGGTCAGACGCTATATATTATATAGCGTCCAACTATCTGACACTATCAATACAAAAAATTAACAGCATAATTATTCATTAACCTCAAATTATTCATTAACCTCAGTATCAGTACTAATCATACAATCAATGAACCATATATAAAATCATCAATTCCATTTTGGACAATATACACAATTATGACAATGAAGCTCATCATAGCTCACAATTATATCATTATATCATATACATAAGCTCAACTTGGAGAAATAAGTTACATAAGGCAATTTGGCCATCAAGATAGAATATTGCATAGCTCATATATAGATGTTTGCACTAGTTGCACAGTTTACATCTCATGGTTTGCTCGCACTCATTACAATTCATCACTTAAACAAAAGCATTCATCTCTAGTTAGAATGTCCAAAAGCATTCATATCTAGTTAGAATGTCCAAAATAATGCATTGGCCATGCGAAATTCCATCCAATTGCTTCCTGCATACATCAGGCCCCCCTAGCCATTACCTCCCACCTGCAAATAAAAGATATAATAAACTGATAGTTTCAATCCAAATAGCAGCTGAGATGTAATTCAGCTAAGTAACATGCTTTTGATTTGGCTACCTAAATAGTGTGTAGATTTCAGTACTAGTACTATAAATATTCTAAAACTGACCACAATTTTTTCTTGACCATACCAAGCTGGTGCTACTTGCATTCATAGCCCTTCTCTGGGCACACAAATACAGAGGTAAAAGTGACAAGAGTCCTGTTCTCTCCAACATGCTACATTGTGCTTAAGTGTTGATAACAAGAACCCTTTGATTTTTCTACTAGCAGGCAAACCACAAAAGAAGGAACCTCAGAAGAGAATACATGGCAAGAGTTCTAAACAAAATTTACTTCTTCCATAAAACTTACATTTATTAATACAGTATTAATGCCCTTGATGCTTTACATGCCATCAAGTGTCTATTGAACTCACATTATGCTATTATAGTAAATATTAACCATAACTCCACGACAACTTGTATTTTCCCTTCTAATAATGAACTTGATGTTTCAGTACTGGCACCACTCAATAACCAAGTAGTTAACAATCTTATATTTTCCCTTCTAATAATGAACTTGATGTTTCAGTACTATTAATTTTATATTTGAATTATGTAGGAATTGACTGTTTCACTGTAAAATCCGGTTCTCTAAATTTGGTTTAGAGAGATGAAGCTTAGCCTATAAAAGGCATGCATCTAACACTTGAAATCAATGTGGGGTAAAAAAAATTAGACAAGAATGAGATGGCCACAAACTTACTGCGTGGCTCACTTCTGAAGAGACGGTTCTCCAGGCTGCCCTTGGCCATGTACTCCACCAGCAGGACCTCCTTGTCCTCCCTGCAGTACCCCAGCAGCCTCACCAGACTAGGATGATTTTGATGACTTGCAAAGCTTCAGAGACATCACTAATTAATTCATCACATATGAAAATAAGAAACAAGAACAGGAGTTGCTTATTACCCAATTGTATGGCCATGCAATTCCTAGGTCCTTTGCATCGGCCATATTTTCAACACCAACATAAGGGCGAGGCAACACAGCATCTCTTTTCATCACAACCGTAACCATAACTTGACAAAATTGCATTCCAAGAGCCTGTCCTGCTAGCACGCAGCTAGGATCAGTTGCAATAACTTTTCCCTTGGCCACAGGTTGAACAGACTTCATGTTTGGGTAAAGTATAACTTCTCTGCCAATCTGAAGCAAATGATGGATGTATGAGAACTGTATCAACTAATAAAAACACCACTAACCTAGAAGCGAAAAATGGAGGATGAATGAGAACTTACATATTCGTCATGTGAGAAACGATTAGTATCACCATTCCTTGTATCGATGCCAAGACGAGGTTGCGGCTGCTGGGCATGAACATGGCTGGACTGACAATGAGAAGGTGGGTGGGATGAGGCTGCTCTCCTGGTGGATTGAGTGGGCTGCTGGGATGGGGCTGCTCTCATGGTGGATTGATGGGGCTGCTGGGATGGGGCCCTGTCTTATAACACATGCATATTAACTTTAACAAGAATAAACATTGCAAAATAGGGTGATCAGTTTGGAGGGGGGGGCCTGTCTTATAAGTAAACTTTCCATATTTCTCATGAGCTACACTCGGTTTTCAATTAAGCTATAGATTCTCTTGAACTATCCACATGAAGCAAAAAAATAGGAAAAAATAATCTTAAGCCACAGTAACTGAATGTAGAGTAAATGAAGATCAAACTAAACCACAGTCCATACTGATGATCAAACTAAAGCCACAGCCCACACTGAGTAAATTTAAAGGCAACTGCTATACTTCCTACAATAAATCTGGATGACACATTGAAGCTCTGCATGAACTATGTATTCATTTTTGTCATATGCCAAATCGACTAAGCAACATCTGGGATGCAGAGAGCACACTTAGTTTCTATGCCATGTGTACTTGTTGATTTGGCCCAGTTAAGCAAATAAGCAACAACAAATGTGTCCACTATAATAAATAGAAGGCACAGTTAGTAGCAGAAATAGAGATCCATATCACTACATGGAGAATCTTTACCAGGAATCAGAAAAGACAAGCAGCAACAATGGTAGCGAAGTGGTAGAGAGCACTTTACCTGATACTCATGAGTCTAATCCACGAGCTGGTTCCTAGTGCTTGCTGAGGCCTGATGAGGTGCCTGTAGATGCTACGGCTTTTCTTAGGGCAGAGGTCCAAGGAGCACCTTCTTCTTGTACGCTTCAGGCAACCACGAATACAACATGCACAGATACATGATTTAGTTAGTAAGGAGGTGACGCAGTCAACAGCAGCAAACACAGTGTAGAGGGACACCGTGGCTCCCTTACTTTGGATCTGGCCGTGCGGAGGGAGATAGGGGGAGAGCTGGCTGTGGCGCCAGTGCAGAAGAATGGAGGACCCCGAGAGGGGGGGGATGGGGGTGGGTGCAGAGCAACTTGGAGGGGTGGGGCGCCAGTGTGTGGTGGTGGGGAGGGGACCTAAGGTCACTGACGGGGGCGGAGGGAGGGGCGAGCTGAGTTCACCGGCTGTGCTGACCTAGAGACGGCGTCGAGCTGAGGTCGTCAGCGCGGAGTGGCCGGACTAAGGTCGCCGCCGTCAGGGGCGACCAGAGGTCGCTGGCCCGCTGACTGAGCGCACGGAGGAGGCTAGGGGGCCACCGGTGAGGGCGGCCGGCCGACGGCGGCGAGCAGTTCTCAGGGGGCGGCTCCGTGTGCAGGACCGGTGGTGGCCGCGGTTTTTTTTTTTCGATTGGAGCCAGCGGCGGCGGGGTGCTGCGCTGGGGTTTGGGGAAAGGGACCGTGGGTTACTGGGGTGAGCGCCCAGGGGAGACGGGAAATGGGCTGATGTGGTGTTGCGCCTTGGCGGGCTGGAATGGCGGGCTCCAAAATTTTTCCGACAGGTGTGTCCACGTTAAAAAGTTAGGCGGGATCTACGGCGACGAGCGGTGGGTCGTTAAAAGTATGATATAACGACCGACCGTTCAACGTCGAAGTGAAATAGAATTAACGACCAACAGTCTGTAGCCAAAATGAGATATAACGACCGACGGTCCGTTAGTAATCTTTAACGTCTAACCTTCCGACGTTAAATCAACATTTTTAGCGACCCCCAAGTGACGTTAATTTTGGGTTGTAGTGTAGTGTTGTGAGTGGCGGCGGGGTGGGAGAAGTGGGTAGGGTTTTTTCCAAATCTACTAAACACACTGCACGTGGGCTACAGGCTGACAGGTGGGCTCCACTAAAATTTTAGCGCCAACTATGTGGGCTCCACTAATATTTAGGCACCAATCGGGCTGAATGTTGCCCAAATCAATATACCGACCGACCGGCGGACCAAAAAAAACGAGATTCAGCCACCAACCATCTAACGGTAAACCCAAATAAAAATAGTGTCCGACCGTCGGACGACAAAACAAGATATAGCGTCCGACCGTAAGCCACTAAGTTATACCGTCCGACCGTCCAACGGCATTTCGACATTTTTACCGACCCTTGGTTGGACGCTAGTATGGGCTGTGGTATAGTGCACTGTGAATTTCAACAGTCTGGATCTTGCCCAGCACGATTTATCCATGCTGGACGTCTACTTCTCCGAGTTCGAGATCTGGGCGACCATCTCGGAGTTGCCGTCGGACAAAGCTCCGGGGCTGGATGGCTTCACTGGGCTGTTCTACAAAGTAGCCTGGCCGATCATCAAACAGGACGTCGTCAACGCTTTCAACGCGTTCTGGTCGCTGGACGGGCGCAGCTTCAATTTAATCAATGATGCCTTCATGATTCTCCTCAAAAAGAAGAATGAAGCCCAGGAGATCAGAGACTACCGACCGATCAGCCTTATGCACAGCTTTGGAAAGCTTATTGCCAAATGTCTTGCCCGTCGGCTTGATCTAGTGCTCAATGATATGGTGCACCCCTGTCAGAGCGCGTTCATCCAGGGATGGTCCATACATGATAATTTTAGAGCCGTTCAACTGACCTGCAAGACCTTGCACCAGAAGAAGCAGACTTGCCTCCTTCTTAAGATCGATATTGCGAAAGCCTTCGACTCCGTTTGTTGGCCTTTCCTTTTGGAGGTCCTACAACGGCTCGCCTTCAGTCGGCGGTGGAGGAACTGGATGTCTATCCTCCTTGGATCGGCAAGCACCAAAGTCCTCCTTAACGGCAGACCGGGCAACCGCATCTGCCATGCCAGAGGCTTGCGGCAAGGTGACCCCTTGTCCCCGATGTTGTTCGTCCTAGCTATGGAGGTGCTTGACGGACGCATCCGGTGGGCTGAGTCCCAGTCCATCTTCTCACCTCTCCGGTGTGCCGCGGTGCGTTCACGGGTGTCGCTATATGCGGATGACGTCATCATGTTTATTAAGCCAGAGATGAACGACATCGTCGCCATCAAAACCATCCTGCAGATCTTCGGCGATGCGTCGGGTTTGTACACAAACTTGGGCAAGTGTGTCGCCAACCCAATTGCCTGTTCACAGGAGGAGCTTCAGCTGGTTGAAAACATGCTGTCCTGCACAATCGGAGCCTTTCCGTGCAAGTACTTGGGCATCCCTCTCTCTACTCACAGGCTGCGCCGGACCGAGGAGCAATTCCTCATTGACACCGTCACGGCGCGTATTCCGCTCTGGAAAGGTCATCTCATGAACACTACGGGCAGGGTGGCGTTGACACAGGCGACGCTCTCGGCCATCCCAGTGCACCTCTCCATTGTCATGTGCCTGTCGCCATGGGCGGTCGACCGCATCGATAAGCTACGTCGATCGTTCATCTGGACTGGGTCGGCCACAGTGAGCGTGGGCAGGTGTCGCGTGGCGTGGGAGATGGTTTGCAGGCCCAAGGAGCTCGGTGGTCTCGGCATCATCGACCTGCGAAGGTTCGGTCTTGCTCTGAGACTGCACTGGGAGTGGGTGTGGAAGGCTGAACCGAACAGAACTTGGATCGACCTTCCGTCACCATCAGACAAAGCCACACGTGCCCTCTTTCGTGCAGCAACCTTGATGGTTGTCGGAGACGGGACATCAATGCTGTTCTGGCAAGACTCCTGGATTCATGGGTGTTGTGTTGAACAAATTTCACCTGCAGTCTTTGCCTCAGTCCCACGGGCGAAGGCGAGGTCAAGGTATGTGGCGTCGGGTCTGGCTGATCACGTCTGTGTGTCCGACATTACTGGGGCACAAACTGTTCAAGTCTTCCTCCGGTACCTGGACCTCTGGGAGTGGGTTCGCGGTGCCCAGCTTGTGACGGGGGTTCCGGACTCCGTCATCTGGCGTTGGTCCGCTGACCACAAGTACTCCGCGGCGTCGGTGTATGGTGCGATGTTCATCGGATCGACCTCGCCATTCGGTGCTAAGTTGATTTGGGAGACGCGCGCACCACCCAAGGTCAGGTTCTTCTTCTGGTTGGCTCTGCATCGTCGTTGCTGGACCGCGAATCGGCGGATGCGTCATGGGCTGCAGGACAGTGATGCTTGCATCATGTGTCTTCAAGCCTCCGAAACTCTGGATCATATCCTGCTGGGTTGTGTCCTCAGTCGTCAGGTTTGGAATATGCTCCTGTCCAAGCTTGGGCTCACAGCCGTGGCCGCTCACGGTGACGTCGACCCCTTCCTCTGGTGGGCCTGGGCTAGGCGTAGGGTGCCCCGGGGCAGCAGGAAGGGCTTTGATTCGCTCCTCATGCTAACCTGCTGGGTGCTTTGGAAGCAACGCAACGCACGGACGTTCAGGAATGAAGCCAAGGACGCTCGCGAGCTGTGTTTGGAGATCCTACAGGAGGCCTCCATGTGGTTGCGGGCCGGGTATTCGACCCTGTCGTCGCTCGCTTCGTTCATGTAATTAATCTCTTGTGCGGTCGCTGCCGGCTTCCTCTGGTTTTTCATTTGCCGCTCTGTTTTATGTTTGTGCAGCTCGACGGGGCAACCTTTGGTTACCTAAGGTCGACGCTGCCGTTGTTTGTTTGGATGTTTTTTTTTTTGCTCTTAATGAAATATGTGCTGCAGTGCACGTTCGAGAAAAAAGTAGGTGCATGGCATGCGTTAAAAAAGAGGATACAAATAAATGTCACATATTTAAATTTCACTTGTGAAGTTCTTATTCTCCCATGCATGGCTGTGTACCTTTGTAGCCAACCGAAGAAGTAGCAAATAGTATCTATAGGTGTGCTTGTACATATATTTATACACCCCTGTAATACTGATGGTGATGGAAGCAACTCGCTATATATCTATCAGGTATCAGCTGCTGTTGACCACCCTACAGTTTGCCCTGATCTGGCCAGTGGTTCCGGTGAGCGGGCTGATGTTGCCCATCTTTATCATGGCGGCGGCGAAGTCTGAGGCGAAGAGGGCCGGGTTGGAGCTGTACTGCCGCACCAGCGCGTCCTGGGAGCCGCCGTTGAAGAGCTCCTGGTCCGAGTGCAGCAGGCCGCGCTTGACCAGCAGGTTGCGGTAGTAGGCGTTGTCGAAGGCGAGCTGCGTCTGCACGTCGAGCGGCGCCAGGTTGGTGTCGCCGGTGCCCGGCGCGGCGGGGCAGTTGCGCTGGCGCAGGGTGGCGAACGCCGCGTCGATGTCGGTGTCGTTGTAGATGTGGCCGCGGAAGTTCTGGCACTGCGAGAAGCCGATGGTGTGCGCGCCGGACAGCGCCGTCAGGTCCCCCGGGCTCAGGCCCTTGTTGCCGAACGCCGAGACGAGGGTGGCGAGGTCAGAGGCTGGCGACGGGAGGTCGCTGTTGGCCAGGGTCAGGCTCGCCGTTGTCGAGTCGCGACGGCCGAGCGGCACCGCCCAACTTGGTCCTCCGAGCTGTGATGATCCAGATCAGTAGTGATGGAGTTATTAATTAGATTCATCTGTCTGCGTATGTACTCCGTGGTATGCTTAATATACCACGGAGGCACGGAATATATTAGTAAGAGACATGTACCAAGAATGTGCCGTCTCGAGCGGCGAGGGCGACGATGTCGGCGCAGGAGACAACGCCGGGGCAGAGGAGCTCGACGTTGGCCTTGATCTGGTCGATGACCTCGAAGCCGCGGACGGAGTTGACGTTGGGGCCGGCGCCCTTCTCGCCGACGAAGCTGCCAACATCGTCCAGAAGAATGGAGCCGTCGCAGCCCTGCAGGTAATAACAAATTAACTCCACTTCAGCACGCAGGGTTTTGGCATAAGTACGTAGCGTAGTAGTACAATCCATATGAACGCCACGTAACATACTTGGACAAAGCAGTCGTGGAAGAAGAGCCTGACGAGGGACGCGCCCATCCGACGCTCGGCGAGGAGGGCCTTGAGCATGGTGGCCCGCACGATGAGCCCCAGCGTCGGGCAGGTCGTCGCGTAGAAGGACGGCGAGAGCTGCCCGTGCGCCGCCGAAGCGAGCAGGAGGAACAAGCTGCAGCTGGCGAGCAAGCAGTGCCACGTCCGGAACGAAGCCATGGCTAACTGGCTGGCTAACTCGATCAGATCAGGCTAGCTAATCAAATTATCTTCAGGTACGTACGGTGATCTTCAGTTCTCTGACAAATCACCAGATCGACAATAGCTAGCTTGCTTAGCTGGTGGGGAGTGACACGACGCGAGCTGCCTATTTATAGTGGCGTTGGCAGTTTCATGCATGCAAAAGCGTAGCCCTCCGATATGATCCACGCCGCAACTGGAGTCAAATTAAGTTAGGCCGCTGGAGGCTGGCAGCTGGCTGTGGAAAATTGGGAGGGAGTTCTTCGGCCTTTCTCTCGTGGTCGACAAAAGTGGGAGGCTTGTAGTGTCGTTTGTACATTCCTTTCTCCTCGATCAGTGTGCTCGCGAACAAAGAACATGTCATGCTGGCACATAATTTTAGTTGAAGTGTAGCTTGTCGTTACGGGTAGAGATCGCAGTCAGACAGCTGTTTTGAGTTAAGTTTGACGCGCGTCTCGCTCGTCACGTCACTGCAGGCATACAGGAGAGAAAGGCATGCCTGCTCTGTGTGTGTGTGTGTGTGCGCGCGCGCGCGCGCGCGCGTGTGTGTGTGTGAACTAGTTTTTAATGTTAGTTTACCAGTGAGCATGCATGGAGCTTTCGTATTTGTTCTACTATTTATATTTAATTTGATGGTGACACACGAGAGGGATATAGTATATATAAAGGATGTGTAATGTAACATTTATATATGTGTGTACTTATATTAGGTGTGTAATCAAGTCATGATAGCATCGAATTGAAGCAAATAAAGCGAGTGAAGCTGATTAATTAATCACTGATTTGAAGTGGTGTAAGTACATAACTGAAAGTGGCTCTGCATGCATACTGATTATTCTCAGCCGACAGTTTTTGAGGCAGACACCGTCGGAAGGGGATTGGATATATAACTCCACACATTTCCTATCCTACAGGTGCCTGAAAGTGAAGATGAACTAACAGCAATAGAGAAGGTGCTCGGTCCTAAGGATGAGGATGATTAGTGATCATTGAATTTAGATTAGACGGATCACGTTCGTCGCCTGATGAACAGAAAGCAAAAGTCAGGCGCCTGTGATTTAGCAACTCTCATAACTCCAAGAGAAAAATCTGATATCCAAGATTTTTTTTTTTTTGTCCAATCTTGTGGTCGTTGCCAGGTTATATCCTTGTATTGAATGTTGGAGCAAGGAGATAATGTAATTAATATATCTGTCGAATATCTGATATATATCCATGAGTAAAATCAGATATAGTTCAGGTATCGATATCGTATTCAGAATATATTATTATATCCAACAGTCCTAGCATGCAGCCTCTCAAGACTAATTTATGTGGATATATAGTCTACTTCATGCATTAATTTGCTTTTTAGATAACGCAATGCAGGTGTGTGCAGCTGGATTTAGAACTTCTGGGTGGTTCAATGATCAGGACAGGACATATACGAGATACGTGGGGTGTTCTTTTGTACTCAGTAATGTATATTATTATATATATACACAAAAGAGATGTGACCAATGTTGTGCGTGGCCGACTTGTCACGTAGTATATTCAATTCGATCCCGTATTTGAGGTGATAGAGTACGAAGAAGAAGAAATGGCCTAGTCTTAGAAGAATTAGTAGTGCTATATCCATACTTTATTATTCACCCTCAGTAGTTTTCACCCTAGCTTGAATTGAGCCCTGTTAATTAGTGGATCGGAGTACGTAGTGAATCATCACGGGGAACTAAATTATTAAATACGAATCCACTGGGTTACTCGCTAACATTTGCATATAATAATCAAAGCATATTGATATATATCGTGCCCTCATGACCTTGACGTGATTGCCGGACACCCGAAAATCAGTACGATCGCAGCCAAATCGATCAGCCAAACCCTAGTAGAAATTTCAGACGACGACGCTCTGGGGAAGGACGACGAGATGGATGCATGATGAACGATGGATCTTTTTTTTTTAATGATGAACTGCATGCATGCAATCCGTGAGACGGCGGGAAAATGAGCCAAGCCCATGGCCCCCCATTGTGTACCGTAAGTAGTCTGAACCCTGAATACCATCGAGAGGCCTAACAATGGAACTGGATGGATAATGTACAGGAGTCAACGTACTGCGTCCCGGTCACGCTGGCAGCCTGGTACAGTGTAGCCCCAAGCACTCCACTTGGCAACTGGCATCTACTAGCTGCGGAGTCAGAGATGCAGCTGCTGTACACACGTACTCCGTACTTGCAGTGTGGGAGGTCCCAGTCCCAGCCGTCTGCATGTGCAGGGGTCGACGTCATGCCCTGCGAGCACTATTCTACGTTTCTCCAACCCGGTCGTCTCGTAACGAACGACGGGATATAACGCGGGTAGGCAGGCAGTCGTGTTTAGTTTGATGTCGTACTTCGTCTCTTTCCGGGCTACGAGCACTGAGTGCAGTAGTTGACTGTTGCGTCCACGGAGGTGGCTCTCGTTCCAGCTTGAGAGCCTTGAGAACATGTCCGATAATTAGCGCTGAAAGTTGATGCTCAGTTATCTGTTTTGTCTGAATTTATATCTGATCAAAACTTGAATATAAATATAGGTATTCGTGTCTTTTTTATATGGACACTAAACCCGTGTGTCCAAATCTATTTTTTTCACAACTTTTTTTTTCTGTCCATCCGTATTTAAAATAATCACGGAATACCGTATTGTTATCCGCATCTGTGAGAATATGGACACAGTAAAATTATTTAAAAGTTATTTTATGAGGACTAATGATATTAGCTAGTTTTAGAGTTTCTAGTGATGTATCCATTGAAACCATTTAAAAGCTATCCATATGGCAAATGATTAATAATGACTGATAATATAAAAATATTATTCAAAAGGAAATATTAACTTAAATTTAATATTGTTGTGATTTAGTTTAAATCTTATATATTTGTTGCTATAAATGAGTTTTTATATACGATTGTATTGATTTATTTATAGATTTTTTACTTCCATATATTTGATGTGCTAAATGCGCGGTTATAAATAGCCGCTATAGATTTTTCATATGGTCTACTACTACGATATTGCAAATTGTTTTGACTGTTACAACTAACGATGCTTTAGCTCTGCTAATACCACTTTTTGGCTTAGCCGTGAAATATTTTTGGCACCACTAATCTTGACTGATGTAGATGTTCGTTCTTAGTCTAAAAGACCATAATCTATGTCACTCTGTTAGATTATTTACTTAATAAATGATGTAATAAACCAATGGATAATTATTAAGCCATTGGTCATTGAATATTTATAATGAATAGGAATGTTGATTGATATGTGGTGAATGTCAAGTAATGGATGTGGAGGCATGTTCTACTAGAGCATGTACATGTATTTGAGTATTCGTATGCACATAGTTTTGCTTATTTAAATGTTTCCATGCATAATCAATTAAGGATTTTCATGTTTTCTGTGAAGCTGTTAAATGAAATAGCTCCTACTATATCCCACTATAGTTTCTATAACTTTTGAAGGAAGCTACTGCTAAATGTCTTGTCCCGCGATTTAAAACATTGGCTACATGTATTATATACTCTTACTTTAGTATCTAATTACATAATGATATTGTTCTTCCAAAACCATCGATAAAAGGATATATACTTCATATTAACTAAATCAAGTAGATATCTCTGAATGCGAATTCGAATCCAGACTATTCATATCTGGCAAAAACATTGATATCCAACTAATAGATATCCGAAATATATCCTTATCCATTCTATTTCCACCCCTACCGATAAAGCCTCAAGAAACATATTTTTGCATCCAATGTCAAAGCAAGTATTATATTCTATGAACGACTTGCATGTGCTACTTGCTAGATTGATTGGAATATGTTGCTTCCCCGCTCAAGAAACCTCATAATCTTACAACTCAAAATCTGAAGCATCTTAAACCAATCATCATCAAACTAATAATCGACAATTCAAAATCTGATGAACCTAACTTGGATGGCATCTAAACTTGACCAAGAAGGCAGGTATAGCTAACTCATAACTCAAAATCTTAGAATCATCAAACTTGACCAATATAGCTAATATAGTGAACTACATAATAATTGCACATTTAGCAAAAGATTCAACGAAAAAGATTGTTCATACTCCTATATTGGTCCAACATATCAAGTAGTTAATATATTAATCTATTAAGCTTCTTATTTTGCCTTGAATTCTATCACCATTTTTAGAACTTGCATTCTCTCGAAATGTTCCATGCATTTTCTCTGAAGTTGAAACAGTATGGAGGTCCTCGACCACATCCTCTTCCTCCTCGGCCTCTATGTGACCTTGTCCTTGAGAGCCATTATCTTTGACTTTTTGTTCTTGGCTTTGTTCCAAGTCTCCCTCGATCGGTAACTTGCTTTCTAAGTTTGTTACATTACTCTGTCCAATTGGGCTTCATCTTTGACAGCTTTGGCCCACTCTGTCTGTATTGGGCCTTTTTTCGGGCGGTGAGGTACCCTAGATCCATAATACTGCACAACACCCACCGGAGAAATGGTTACGAAGATCCCATGGTCCATATTAGAGTTTATAATAGCATATTATTATTGAAAATTAAAGGCACAATTGTTCAAGTCTAAGATATCCATGAAACAAACGAATAAAAAAATTACAAAATACTTGAAAGAACCACAATTTTACTTCAAAACTTTGTTGTCCTTCATGCAGATCGGAGCTACAATGATGCCTGGTTATCCACACTAATACCTAACTTATTTTTTTGCTACAATATAAGTATATATATGTAAGTATACTCATATGTATAGTAATATATATGTTTTGGTATTATATACTCCCTCCGTCCAGAAAAGAATGCAATTATGGGATCCGTGCCGGTCAAAGTAGCTCAAATTTGACCAAGTTTATAACAAATAATATTAATATTTGTGTCCAAATAAATTTATTATTAAAATATATTCTACGACTAATCTAATGATACTAATTTTGCATCAGGAATGTTAGCATTTTTTA